GTGCGATGAGTTTTATTCTGATTATAGCAATTCACATGCTAGAGTCTAATGTCTACTTTCTGCGTTTAATGACATGATTGGACTGTTTTGAGCTGAAATTTGTATGCGCTATAAGAGCTGTGAATGTTCATATTATTGAGTTGTAGCATTCTGTGATGATTCATGTTGGTAGGCCAATAGAGTTCGAAATAGTATTTTAAAACCGGCTAATGATAAGCGTCAAATTAGCTCTTTGAAATATGTTAGTTTAATCCGGCAAATACCTTAATAGGATCCACGCAATAGAAATACCAAAGGCCTACGATTATTTACAGATCTGGGCCAAACAAACAGCCCAACTGTGACAAGGATATTAGGTCAGGCTTGTCTCCAGGCTGGGCTGATTTAATGTCTCCTTATTGGGTTTACTACAAGGCCCATGTCTAGACAGCAACTATTTATTGAACATTTAAGGTCTGTTTTAAGGCCTGAATTTTCGCAAGGGCCTGCTTTAAGGCCCACAAAATTCGAACGCTTCCTTAGGTATTTTGTTTGAGTTCAACACTTATGTGAGTATCTTGGCAATAATACATGGACATACTAATTGATTGGGGCTTTCTCTTGTTAGTAGAATACTTAATAGTGTTTTCTCAAGTTTCTCAAGGTCGCTAAGCAAATAAATCGCGGGTCCCTTGACAAATGCTTAAGTTAAATACTTAGACTCCGGGATAGGTCGTTTAGCGAATTTCACGACCTTCCCCAAAATAATAAAAAACGCGTAGTGGCTTTAGGAGCGTACTTTAATAATATCACTTTCCTGAATTCGGGTGCACATTTATGTGACCCAAATCCAAATCTCAACGTAGTCAAAGTGTGTTAACAATCACGGGTGCACTGGTGCGACGTGGTTCGAGATGCATTTTCACGGCGTTGCAATTCTTAAAAATAAAAAAAATGAACGCGGTTTACTAGTAAAAGCACATGGGACATAACATGTTTTGAAATCAGATAAAATCAAATACAACAGTTGAGCGACCGTGCTAGAACCACGGAACCCGAGAATGCCTAACACCTTCTCCCGGGTTAACAGAATTCCTTACCTGGATTTCTGGTTCGCGGACTGATAACAGAGTCATAATCTCCTCGGGTCGGGATCTAACCGGTGACTTGGGACACCATTAATTTCCTAAGTGGCGACTCTGAAAATTTAATAATAAATCCCGTTCCGATTGTCACTTCAAGTTGGAAATAACTCCCTTTATTATTTTATATTACACAAGGAGGTGTGACAGGCTTGCCTAGCTCCTATTAGTAGGCGCCATCACGACCCTCGAGGGTGAGAAATCCGGGTCGCGTCAATTACGGGCTGGGCTGAGCTGGCCTAACGGGCCAAGCCTATATTGACGGCTCTATCCAATAACCTTTTCAAATTTAATTAGTTGCTATCTTTTGTAATTAATCCCCATGAAGTTACTATCTGCACCGTAGTTTAAAGTATCTTATTTTTGTCGTCCCTTTATCTAATAATTCCCTTGATCAAGAAGCTAATTTTTTTTATATGAAAAAGGTAAATCTTGTATGTATTTGGGGTGTGTAAGCTGGAAAGTGAAGATCATGTAAGAATATAAGGACGAAAGGAATATGTGTATGGGCAGTATGTGTAATTTTGGTATTGATTAAATGATTGTTCATTTTTTTTATTTGGTTTAGCTGATAAGCCGCTCGATAATTATTAATCCGATACCAATTCGCCCCTTGTCTTATTGGATGGCTAGTGGATTATTACATTTATAATCTGATAATCGTTAAGCTGAATCGTTAAGTGTAATTATCCGCCCGATAAGCACCCCTACAAATAATGGATTGGGAGCCTTTTAAGGTGGAATATAAATATTTTGTAGACAAAACTTGTTTAGGTCGGGTAATCAACTAAACATGGACATTTTTGTTAATAAAGTTTCTAATAATCTATAGGTATGTAAAAATTCCTTTTAGAATTTCGTCTAGAGTAAACTTAGATATCGTTTGGACATAATTTTAGTTAAACTTTAAAAAAAGAAAGCGTCAAAAAATATATTTTAACGGTTGAAGTTGTAATTTGACACGCACTTGAAAAAGATTGAAATCTTATGAGCGAAAGAAAGTTTTTCACCCAAACTAGTTTTTGGAACTTAAAAATTTTTCTTCAATTTTTTATTTTAAAAACTGATCAAATTTCATGAACAAATAATGATTTTAAAAAAAATCCGAAAAAAGGTTTAAATTTTTTTATGTTCAAACGGGAGCTTAAATTATTAACAGTTTGACAATTTAATCCGCAAAAATTAACTATAAAAAAGAAGTATCAAATTTCATTCTTCCAGTATTTCCATTCCACTGTTATAAGAAACATGAACTTTATTTTATCTGGATATTAATTGTTGAAACCCTTTCGACCAAAAGCAACGTAACTTGACCAACTATTTCCATTAAACACATACTTAAGGCTTTTTTTCCTTAATGTTAGTTGAATTGGACCCGTCCCGGTTCGTTCAATAATGAATTTGATTAGGTAAATGTTAAAAAAAAAAGTTGTCCGCATAAAAAATTTAATCAATTTGATCTAAGTCAAATTTGTCTGCATAAAAAAATTGTCCGCATAATTCCAGTAATCTAAGTCATTTTGATCAAACCTAATAATTTTTTTTTTACTCTCTCGATGAATTGATCCATCTATCAAGATTCTATGTCGATTTGATCGAACTTAATAAAAAAAATTGTCCGCATATAAGTTAATGGATACGATTCTCAACAAAGATAGAACTCAATCATATTAAAAATTCTAAATTCGTCTATGATCACCATTCTCATCATTTTTTTGCGATAAAATTGTATTAGGTGCATGACAAGGGGCGACCACCATTCGTCGAAAAATTATATTGTATATATAGGTAAAATAATAGGTTTTGAAAATATATAATATATATTGAGCATTCTTTATCGGGGATTTTTTTTTTGTTTCTTTCAAATTTGAATACCCTTGGACAAATTTCTGGCTTCGCCACTGTGCATAACACAAAGAAAACAAATGTGTGAAAAATATGAATTATATGAATAGGTATGTAATGTAACAGAAATTGGTGTCATGTTAACATGAACAAATGGAGGTGTTGTCAAGTGTCAACATGTCGGTAGAGGCGGATCCAGGACTTTAAATTTATGATTTCTGATAAAAATCTCAAATCAATATATAATAATGACATGATTGACGGATTAAATTCTGAGTTAAATATTCTATTACATTTAATAGATTTTTCAATACAAATATGTGATCTAGACAAAAATTAATAAGTTCACAGGAACCCGTAACTAATGCACTATGCACGTCGGCAGTAGGATGAACAATCCTCGACCAACTCACATGGTGTTAGATTTTCATGTCAATATCTCATGCAACTCATAATTTGATGGATAGGAAATTTTCTAGTTTGGTAAGAAATTATGTTGTCTTTTCACTGACACCCATTTCATTTTTCTTATTAGCTCCTTTAAATTTAAATAAAAGTAGACTCAGAATGTGAAGTAGTGGTTGCAAAGTAACATATTGCACCCACAACTCATATGTAGTGTTAGATTAGTACAATTATAATCTTATGAATTTTAAGCCTCCTACGAAAGTTAAACATATAAGAAGAAATCGCCTAACATTTCTTTTTATTAGAATTTGAACACCGATCTCCAAAGTTTGCACCTATCGTTAGACCACAACCCTTGAACTTCAACTCATTATATATGTTGCATAAGGTTTTTCTTTTTTAAGATTCTCAACAATATGTGTGCAAAACCACCCTAATGCACTGCTCTTCTAAAAAAGAAATTTACATTCTAAGAACTAAGCTGGAGAACTTTTTGAAAAAAGTACAAACATACAAAAATTAAAAAAAGTACATACATTCGATCCCACTTTTTTTTTTTTTTTTTTTTTTTAATAATAACAATAACAATATACTCAGTGTAGTCTCACATTGTGGGATCTGTGAGGGTATATTATATGCAGATCTTACTCTTACCTTGTGGAGGTAGATAGGTTGTTTCCGAAAAATCCTCGACTCAAGAATATAATTTTCAACGGGTTTGAACAGGAAAACAGTAATAAGAAGGTCATGTCGGAAATACCAAGGATAAGAATATTAACAACAAAAAATAAAGCATTAATATAACCAAGCAAGTGGAACAACAGATACTGGACACCATGAATAAGAAAACACTAAAATGATAATATTAGTGTAACAACATACTCAATGTAATTCCACAAGTAGAATTTGGAGAGGGTAGAGTGTACATAGTCCTTACCCTAACTTTAAGAAGACAAAGAGGTTGTTCCCGGTAGACTCGGCTCAAGAATGATAATACTAGTGCTGCTATGTAAAATAAAAAACAAACAACCAAAACAAACATAGCTGATACGAAGTCCTAAACACGATGGTCTACTAACCTTCAACCCTAATTTTCGAACTCCGTAACATTAGTCAACATTACCGGCTAGGCATTCCAGAAATTCCCGAGATTTTGATAGAAAGTACAAAATGTTTGACCAATATATAAGGATTTCCAGTTCATGACCAAAACGTGAAAATGCTGAAAGATTGGTTAGTTTGGAGACCTAACTTTTTTGCTCATAATTGTTGGATAAATCTCTCATTGAAATTGACATATTCGTGGCGACAATATTGGGTGCATGGGTTAATCCATGGTGCAATGGGCCCATCCAAAGCTCCTTGCCAAAAAATCGCAACAACAGAGAAGCATCACTTGACTGTTCTATACAGGATCATGCCCGGAGTCCTTTGTGTTATAAAACCAAGTTCATTAATGACCCCTTATGTTGTCTCCAAGAGATTAACCGTTTCTTAGGAAGAGAAACGACAGCTTAATCTGTTTTAATAAGCAATCTTTTTCAAGATGAAAAAACAAAATTGGCAAGCTAAGGTTGCTACAAAGAGAAATTTCAGTGATACTAGCAAGTACTTGGATTAGAGGAGTAGAGAAATAGAAGCTGCAATAAGTTAATTAACACGATAACTCGCTAAGCTTCGATTAAGATGATAAACATGAAACAATGTAGAAGCCTCCTTATTGATTATGATAAAGGGAAGCTCAAAATAGTAGACCTGCAATTCCTAGAAACTCCTTTGTACAAGGTTAAGTGCAAAACACAGATTGCCAACAAAATACCAAACATAGTGCCGCTAATCACTGATCCAAAAGTAAGTTGCATGGTATTTTATCACAGCACGAGGTCATCGTGAACATCTAAAAGGGCTTTTGATCATAGTCAAGCTTTTTTTCTTTTCCTTCTTCCGATGCCAATCAAGCATCTTTAGCGTCCGCACCTAATATGTACCCCCAACAAAAGGCAACTCCTCGCCCAACCAAACATTTATGTATCACTTGATGGTAATGTAGCGATTTGTACCATGTTTGGCCCAATAAGTCTTGAGATCAATGGGCATAGACAGATCATGGCCAACTGCTGCAAGCCTTGTAAGCAATCTGCTAAATACGCTTCCACTCATTTTCCTACCACCAATACGGGCATGGCGTTTGTTTGGCAATTGTGGTAGTGGATACTCTGACAGATATGTAGTGCAGCAAGATGACTGCCAACCCCCACTTCCCCATTTGTAACACTGCCTTGGTATTCCGGTACACGTGCAAACAGGTATTGGCATGGAGGACTCGTCAAACTTGATCTGGTTTATTGACCCAAGATCCTGTGCATCCCATTCAGCTTTAGATCCATCTGTTGTAAGATGCCGATTCAAATCTTCATTCACTTTCTTTGTCTTCCTTGGCGATTTCACTGACTTCCTTGACATGCCTTTGTTTCCCTTTGTTCGTTTTACTTGGAGTGCCTTGGCAACTTCAGATGAAATGGCCGATATAGGAAAAGCATCAGTTAAGGGCACATCCCTATTGATACAAACAGAATCAGTGCTATTGTCGCAATGATTTTTAGTTTGATTAGGGCGCTTTGTTCCGCGTGTCCTACAACCCAATGTTCCATTCATGGTGCTTTCCTGAAAGTGGAGGGCAGCAATTGCATTGTCCCTTTCTTTTATGGCAGTATCTCGCTCAGCAATTGCTGTATCTCGCTGCTGGATTGCCAAATCTCGCTCTGTTAATACTGTATTCTTTTCAATCACTGCTCTATCCCGTTCTTCAACAGCAGCGTCTCGTTCAGCGCAGAGCATTCTGATTTTCGTATTCATGACGAAAGCCTCTTGGTCCTTCATCTGATAAGGAGGTACCACGTTCCACTGCAGTGAAAGTAATGGTACTGGAACTACATTACTACTGATCATATGTCAAGAGATATTCGGAACAGAATAAAACAGATTACTTCCAAGATTCTGCTTGGTACTATGATAATGCATCCTTGTTATTGGACGACTCATTTTAGTCAGTAAATTTTTGTGATTAATTGAGTACCAACTAGCTTGTGATTCCTTTCATAATAAAACACTTCTCTTACCGGCGCATGACCTCCTTTGGAGCAATCCATTCTGTGTCTCCTACTTTCTCGTCGGCCCCCATCGTCCATCTTATATGTGTGCTTGATGAGGAGCAGATTTGTATCTCCCTGTATACAGTATTTTCTGGATCAAATATCAATTGGCTGTCTGGCTCTCCACTCAACACTCATCCTGCAGTAAATAATAGAGGGAAGGAAATAAGAAGTAAGTCCAGACTAGCTACTGCAATGCAGGTAAGATAAAATAAATCAGCGATTAGTAAACAGATAAGAGCTCCAATTAATTGTCCAAATATACAAAAAAAATTGGCATAAGTGCGTGTTCTTTAAAGAGGAGTTATGGCTACGTAATAGAGAGAGAGAGAGAGATATGTTAAGGATACGATCCAGTAGCAATAACAGCCAAATAAATAGTGCATCAAGCCTTTTGAAAACAAATTATCAAACACAGAGGAACCTCAAGCGGTGCTCAAACCTCCAGGTACAACCCACCTCCAAGCAAATAGTAGGTCAAATGTCCACTTTATCTTAATGAATTACATGCTAATGATGCTTTTATAATATTGCCAGCTGGCAAAGACGGGACAACTAATAGGATGTCAGGTATTTGGACAAATATCCCCAAAATAGCAATTAGCAGAGTAGTTCCACCTTCTTGAAGCAAAAATCTCAACCGTAATAGGGTGCCTACGAGGTCATACAATGGTTTAGCAACTTGTGAATAAAGCTCTTACTACCCTTTGAGACAGAAAATTTTGACAATATAGCAGGGGAAGGTATATCTAAGAAGTAGACATGAAAAAGGGCTGTCTTCTAGTGCTTGAGTAGGAAGCATCTTTCCATACATCATACTGCCAATCCAAAGTGACAGGCTTATCCTGCTAAGTAACTCAATTTACCAGTTTTTTCCTCCTCCAGGATAATGCAGGAGGGAAGGTGTATAGAAGAAGCAGACTTACTAGAGAAAAAGAAAAAATTCTGTTCTCCGAAATTGCACAAATGAAGAGAGATCACTTTGTAGTAGCAGGAACATGTTGTCACTGTGCAGTCATTTATGTATTCATCATCTGTTCAAATAAAATCTTCATAACCTTACATCACATGGAGCACACAATGTTGGTCATGATATTGATATGTCCATGAAAATAAATAGAGACAGCAAATCTACACCTTCTCTCTCCCCTATCTCTCTGGAACATGTTATTACTAAACTCAAGCCCACAGGGCTATGTTAAGGAAATGCTTAGATTTGTAAATGTTGATTTGCATAAGTACCTTCTGCCTGGCCAGTTGGTTCATATTTTAATTGCCAACTTAGTTTCTGCCAATATAAATGTCTATCTGGCATACATAGGCCCGTCCCTCTACCTAGGGCTGGGAATCATTTGGTAAACACCGAAACCGAAAATTTTGGTATTTGATATACGGTATTTTGGTATTTAGTTTAAGTTTTTAAAAAAAAAATTGGTATTAGGTATGGTACTTGGTATTTTAAAATAAAATACCGAAATGCCGATACCGTACCGAAATATATATTATATTACACAAAACACATATTATCAATTATAACATAAATATAAAAAATCTAAAATTTTACTTTCTTTTATTCTCAAAGTTCATCAATTAACTCTAAATAAGTAACAAGACATTTCTAATTATCAAATATTCTTTTATGTACAATTTTCTCTATTTGGGTCGATATTTGCTAGTTTTTGACAAAAATTTTGTCAACAAACATTTTCAGTTTTGTATTTTTGAGTACTTTAATTAAGAATATTAGAGTGTATGGCTCTATGCACTAGTTAGTATTCAAACCGAATAAACCGAAATTACCGAACCGAATAAACCCAAACCGAAAGGAGAAAAACCAAACCATACCGAATTTAATTAGGTACGGTATTGGTATAGGATTTTAAGAAACCGAATACCGATAATACCGAACCGAAATGTCTAAATACCGTAGCGTACCAACCGACGAACACCCCCTCTACCCTTCTCCAGTTAAATACCAGGCTTTTGTCTGCGGGTTAAAACCCCTTATGTACGCCTAACCCATACATCAACTTTTTTTTTTCTTTCTTCTTTTGCCTTCTTCAGTACCGATAGGTGGTAGGCTAAAAGAAGGACCAGGAGATGAAGCAACATGAAACAGTCCTCAAATATGAAATCTTGCAATCCTATGCTTAGTTGAAGTTCCCTCCTAAAAAAAACATCAAAGAACTGCCGAAGTTCCCTCCTAATCACACGTCTCAAGTTGTCAATAGTACTAGTAGAATATCATCGACCTCAAATAACGTTCAATTTGGTTTTTCTTTTTCAGGTCAAGTACTGCCTAGGGGAAGTACGTGAACACATACGAACAGACAATTGCCTGGTTAAAGATAAGCTCTATGTCACCTCTGAAACTACGCAGCATGAAAATTTGATAGGAAGAAGGAACACAATGAAAACATAGAACTACATAACAAGCAAACTATAAGAAAAAGGAGAAGTAAATCCAACTTTTTCTTCTCAAACTCTTTTTTTCCCCTTGTCTCTGGGAAACCCATAAATTCATTAATTCAAAATGAATTAGCGATAATTCATCTAACTAAAACAAATTGAAGTACTTCTCTAGCACATAAATGTGCAGCACAAATAATGAAATAAAAACCTTCTTGAACAAAGATCACTATACCATTAATTTCCCGGCATAAAAAACGAAAGGTAGTATATTTTTCTTTCTCTGCGTTATAGATAAAACACAATAAACTGTCAATTGGGAGAGCATGCGAAGGAAAAATATGAGCAAAACAGATAAACTAGGGTTTCAACTTTCACGCACACAGAAAAACAAACAGACACAGTTATTAAAAAAAAAAACAGTAATATGCTGTGATGAGAGAGAGAAAGAGAGTTAATTAGAGTGAGAAACTGAGTGCAGAAAATGCGGCGAGAAAGAGAAAGAGAAAGGTGAAGATTGTAGAAGGTAACTTACAGGGGGAATCGGCGAGAGAATTATGAACAATAGCGCATCGCCGGTGAGTGAAAACCCTTTTCTCAACACCTGGAGTGGAACTAGTGTGTTTAGTTCTTTTTTCTAAATATAAAGTTACATTTTTTATTTTTATTTTATAAAAATATTGGTTTAGTTTTTGAAAGATAAACATGTTTTCAGATAAAATGGCATTGTCCTCTATTTTTTTAAAAAAACTTCTCAATAGATTTGTCGTGTATTTCTATTCTATTCTATTATATTTCTATTATATAGAAAAGGAAAGATGGTCAATCAAAGGCATATATGTCATTTCAAAAAAAATGTTGTATTGTTTGTATTTCTTAAATTCAAATTGTATCCTTCTTGATATATGTGGACCCCATATTCCCTTGACTACAGCATTCCTTTAAAAGTTTAAATATAATATTGATTAGACTACATTTGCATAGAGTTACATAGGAGTGGCAAACGGGCGGGTCGGGTCGGATATGGTTCGGGTTGAAAACGGATAATAAAATAACGGATCAATTATCCGACCCATCCATATTTAATACGGATAAAAAACGGGTTAACCGGCGGATAATATGAGTTACCCATATTATCCATGACTTCTTGTATATGATCACTTTTTGGAGAATTCTTAGTCTCCCTAACTTGTGGAACCCCCAATTTGAGGCTTTACAAATGTAAAAGTTAGACATATTGGTTATCCATTGGTTATCCATTTTCTAAATGGATAATATGGTTCTTATCCATATTTGACCCATTTTCAAATAGTTCATTATCCAACCCATTTTTTAATGGATAATATGGGTGGTTAACTGTTTTCTTTGAACCGTTTTGCCACCCCTAGAGTTACACCATGCAAATACTCATTTTGAATAATTTTTTTCATTTGATAAAATTATTAATTTTTGTTTTAGTCAACTAAAAGGTTTCACAAAAAAAGTAAATTTAATTTATATATAATAAAGCAACTAAAAGAAATATAGATAAATATTTACAATATTTTCATATTTACCCATACTAATTTAACAATATACCCAGTAAAATTTCACTAGTAGAATATAGAAAAGGAAAGATGGTTGACTAAGGACATATTTGTCATTTCATAAAAACTTCATGTTTGTATTTTTAAATGCAAAATATACATGGACCCCACATTCCTCTAGCCATAAATGTGTTGATTAGACTATTTGTGTAGTGCAAATGCTTATTTCCAATTTTTCTCATTTTGGAAAATTATTGATTTTGTTTTATTTAAATAGAAGTTTCCATAGAGAAAATAAAATTAATTTTTAAATAATGCAACAACATAAAGAAGTATTGATATTTACAAGATTTTTATATTTACGCATACTACCTTAAAGCAATTTGAAAATAAAAATTAAATAATTTCATCTACCATATTATTCGAAGACGATTTCAAACTAAATATTTTTATATTCAAACGTAATTTTAAAATATATAGCTTGTTAAACCTCAAAAGTTAATTAACTAAACACCAAACAAATATAATTTTAATAAAGTTACAATGTTGGGCCCGTATATGGGCCTTCTTCATCTAGTTTAAATAGAAAAAGAATTTTAGTCTTAGGTGATTTACCTTTATATCCTTAAACTATACAAATATTTAAGGTCATAAAAGTCGATTAATATTTTGAGGATATTTTAGTCGTTCAATATTTAGCATAAATTATTCGTGCTTTTATAATAACTAGTCTCTATGTTCGTGCGTTGCACGAGAAATATGTATTAAAAATAATAAACTTTTAATTGCTTACACTGTTGAATATGTACAAAGTACGAAGNAGATGGTTTTGTTTAATTTCTTATGGATGATATACAAAATTTAAAATTTATTTATCCGTTTAGCTAATTTTTCTATTTACAAAAAATAACTAAAGTTTCTTTACAAACTAGTTCGGATATGCCTGTGCAATGCACGGACCCAATATAATAATATTTTTTTATTGAAATAACATACTATTTCTGACATTGTCAAGCATAAAGAGTTGATCTGAGAAACATGCTAGCAAATAACTTTGTATTATTCTTTCGACAATAAATTATATTCTAAGTTTTTTATTTTAGAATTCAAAATCCACTTGTTCCTCGTAAGAAGCTTTTTTAGAATCAATCAAATGTATATACGAGCTGATCAGTGACTCTTGAAAAATAAATTTTATAAACTCATTGAGTAACGAAAGATAAATTTTGTGAACAAAAGTGTTTGATACTTTAATATAAATATCATATCTATCTAAGTTAATGGTAACATATATATTCTTTTAGTACCACTTTATAAGATGATATTATACATTCTTCTTCCATCATATTTAGCATTTTTTCCTTATAAAATACATAATGTTGCGAGAAGGAATGGTTTATTTGCAACAAGAGTTTAACAATTGTCTTCGCTCAAAAATCCTCATTCTAGTATAAATCACTTGGCATATATCCTCGCAATGTATTTATTTATTACTCTAAAACCTCCATTATGTTGATTTGGATTTTTTTTGTTTGGTTAAGACTCAATTGCTTTTTCTCTAGTGATTTCAATGTAGAGTTCTTATCTTCATGAATTCCACGTGAAATTTTTGTTTGACCTCATTAGTTTCTTAAGCTATCTGGCATTTTCTCTTCTTGGGTGTCTAACTAATTTCGGTTAAGCTGTGTCTTTGAGACTTTGGGTTGAGTATTTTCTCTCATGTTATTTATTTGAATATGAACTTGAGCTTGTCAAAGTAATTGCCCATTTGAACTGAGTTGTTTGTGTTTCTTGAAAATATTAATTTGTTTGTTAGAGCTACAAAGAATTATTAATTCTCCGTATTGACAGACTTTAAAATGTTAAACTTGAATATAAGGTACCAAATAAATTTGGAAAAAATTTATATATACATAAAGTACCAAATAAGATAGTTTGATTTTATTTGTAGTTATTCAAATAGAGAGCTAATTACCATGATATGGTAAATTTAACTGGGGCTGCATTAAAAGGCTGCAAGTGGAGCCCACTATAAAGTCATCTGTGACAATTGCACAGCAAAAGAAGTTCAGGCGGGGGCCATAGGAAAAGAATACAAACACTGAAGCACTTAGTACAACATAGTTAAAGCACAAAATAATTGCAATTTTCCCAAAATAACCCTGACGACCCCAAGCTCCTCAACTGCCCTTATTACTATAACTAGTTGCAAGGAGCCCGTGCTGAGCCCGGGCCCAAGCTCACTTGGGGAAAAGGTATTAGCTTAATTCATGAGATCCTATGAATGGTGGAAAATTAGATTGTTCAAATAACATCCTCCAAAAGCACCTTATACAGACTGTATGTTGTCTAATCCATCAAATTAATCAATTGTGCGGCTTATGCATTGTAGGGAAACGTAATGCTAGACACAAAATCATATTTCATCTTCAGTCGTTTAGCATGACGGCATTAATAACTTTAACTACTATGAAACAACGGTGAATCCTGTTAGAGCATAATAGATTAACGACGAAATCAGACAACAGAAAAAATAAACTCTAAGCCACGTAGCGATATTTTCCAAAAGGTAATGCATTCTACCATGAATAATTAAAAAAAAAAAGAGGGAGGGCATCGTAGAATCCTGATTTTAACATATCTAGAGATAAAGTAACAAATAGAGGTACTATATCTCTGAGCTCCTTGATTCCTTGGACACTGTAAATTCAACATGACCAACTTCAGCTATTTCTAAAACAGCCTGATGTAGAAATATAAGATCTTTCTTGTCAATCTTCTTTGATAAAATCGGTAAATCCTAAAGCTTTTTTCAATAGTGAAGTGTGCTTCTCAGCCTTTCTTGTTGTCTTCGATCAAATCTTAGTAACAACAATTTTGCATTCTTAACATTTCAAAAACTCTCTCAGAACTTGGAACCTCTTAAGGGAAAATGCATACGCTAAAGTAGAATAAAAAGATAAGCGCAATTGATGATCACATATTACTATACCTCGCTTCAAACATGCATACACTTTGAGAGATCGATTCAACAACTGCCCAGGTGGCAGGAATGGTGGATGCTTACTAATTACTGTAATGAAGCCTTTTGATGAATCAGGATCTAAGCAAGTTAGAACCATAAAACAAACATGAGGCCTGGAAATCTCCAATAGAATTTCTAGAGTAGCACCCATATACATCCCGTTCTGTTGAAAGAACTACCAGAGATTAATAGCTATATCTCTCCCAAGTGGAAGTTTCATAAAATTAGAACCAACCAGAAGACCAACAACCACAACTACAGTGGGAACAGATAAGAGATCCGGACTTACATCAACAATGTACCGAATCCAGTTCATGAATTCCAACTCTACACCAAAGCGAATTCATTCAGCCCTGTTCATTCACTCCGAACCTACAACAAATCCAATGCATCGAAGTTTAATCACGATTGAATTCCTCCCAAATAAAGTGTAAGCGCACAAAGGGAATAAGAAAGGACATAATGATGCATGACAATTATAAAGGTGGATAAAAAGCTTCATATAGAGCATGAAGAAAGTAGTCTAAGAGATGACGATCTGCATTGGATTGGGACTCCTCAGGAGAGGGGAGGTCCTTAGAAGTTCAGTCATATAAGAGCAAAGAGCAAATTGAACTGTATGGATAATACCAGATAGATCATGCATGATAAGAATCAGAAGTCCACCTTCAGATAGAAGCTATGTACAACCTGCACTTTACTCTCATCAGCAACAAAAAGTATTTTGGAACGCACAATATGACTGAGGAGGGAAAAATAGAGCAAATTGTCCAAACTGAGATATTGCAGGAACATATACAACAAGACCACTGCAAATAGTGCAGATAAGCTGCAAAGAGAATGGGAAAGCATTTGAGACAATGAAGCATCAACTCACAACACATTGGATCTACATATATATGAATCATCGGGAAGTGATAAACTCACATAATAAATTAGTATTTACGTTTATTTTATCTTGTAGTTCATGAATATCAGTAAATAGCCACATCTTTGTCGCAACTCAAAACATTGGTGCATGACATCCCTTATCAATTCTCTTTAAATACAGGGATAACAAATAAGTCTTTCTATTGGTATTTGCTACCACATATAACTTTGTTTGCTCTTTGAGTGTCTCTCAATTTTCAGCCATTATTTTGCTTACCATCCTCGTGGGATGAGTATACTTTCTACCTTTTACCATTAAAAATTAAAGTATAAAAGCATCCACAAACAGTATGTACAAGAAGTAACTTTGTAATCATAAGAAAAAAAAGTACTTGTTGGTTAAGCCCCAAAGAACTTTCACGTTGACAAGCTTTAAGTTTGACATTTAAGACATACAGATATATAACTGGCAGAATCCAAAGAAAGCAACCCCTGAATGGTAAAAGAAATCATATAAGAAGTATAAGTAGATTTGACCAATGAAATTAGACGATGGCACAAAAGCAATGTTTACTGATAATAAATTAAGAAATCTTTAGTTGTATACGTAGAACATCCTTCATTTGTATCACTAAATTCTAATTCAATGAAATGTAAGATTCTAATTTGACACATTTGCACATTATCATACTTTAAATTGAAACATACAAATAAACTAAAATATAGATGTTCACAGAGCCATCACTTGCACCTTGTTACTGATAGTTTATTTTTTATTTTTACTCTTTAAAGCACACCAGACATATAAATAGCATAAGAAAGACCCTGTAAGTGATGAATAATTTTTTATTTTCCCTCTTTAAAGCATATCGACCAAAAAAAAAATAAAAGAACATGTTAATTCCTCTGAAATCTTCAGACAGAAAAGGATCGGTTTAATAATATAGTAAAGCTCATATAATATAGGAGTAGTTTGTTCTCCTGTTATAGTGATCTCCATCTTCAAATTAAACCACCTTAATGTATATGTTCCAATGCATCTAAGTTATTAAATAAAGGAAATCTATTAAATTATTGGCTCATACTGCTTAGTGTAAACCATCAAATAAGAAGACCTCATGCTTTGCTCTGCCTTTACCGGCAAACCTTGAACCATCTAACCAATGCAAATTCAATAAAGCTTATGCAGTGTACAGAAAAATTTGGTGATATTCCATGAGAATGAAAAATAATTGCAAAGGAGTCATTCGTTCGGTTATCACATAGTCAGTTGATTAGTAAGCAAGTTATCCAACTAATAATTTTAACAACCTGATTCCTCAGGCAAAACAAACCTAATATGGTGAGAAATTAACTTTTGCACTCATTGCTGGCTCTTAACTGTAGTTGGAAAATATTTCTCTTGGTCTTCATTAAACTATTTTCTTCCCACTCAAGGGCTTAATCATATATATTTGGACAAATTTTTTGACAGGAAATATGCTTGAACAATTTAAGCTAAATCATCAACTAAGGGTATGCAAATAGCCCCCCTCAGTCACATATAAATACATCGAGTAACACATATTAGTAAGAACACCATCAACTCATTAATTTTTGACAATTTGTAAAGCCTAATTTTATTGCCCTGGTGACCTTACCTTACAATAATATGCAAGGAATCAGTTCAAGAAAATGAATGCAGTCCCTTTGGCAAGAAAGAGTAGGAAAGACACTACTGAAAAATGGTCGTCTAGGCTTCTATTTAATATGAATTCATGCACAGGTAGTCTCTGAATACCGCTTTCCTTTTTAATGTCACGATATCCAATTAGTTGATGTGATTTGGGTGATCTATCAGACTGCCACTCCAGAAGTTGCACTTCCCCTACCAAGTGTTAATAACCCTACATAACAACAATTAGAGATCAACACAATACTACAGGTTTCAATAACATATAACTTAAATTGTTTAGCTTCTTAAACACAAAACTCATGATTTAACTTCGCAAGCGCACACTAATTATCGATAGAAGCAAAATGTGTCACTCATACCTTGTTGCAAAGTAAATGCTGAAAAGCAGAATGTTAAACCAATGGGGAGAGAAGTGGAACAAAATTCCAATATCGTCATGGCGTCAGTCAAAGTCGGCCATGACAACTTTGAGTGAGCCATGGTTGCTAACACATCAGTTCTGACAAAGCATAGCAAAAACTCCCCAATGCCTCCAACTCTACCCATAGCCAAAGAACATCATCTGCACCTTCTTTCACATATCTACTACTTATCCAAATGTAGTAAATAAAAAAAAGTAAAGTATTACCTCCCATCATCAACATCAATATCTCAAGTAATAAATGAAAGCATCAAGACCCTTATCCTGAACAGCTCTGAACTGCTGGTGCATTTGAATCTACTACAGTATTCCTACAAGATGGCCCTAAAACTTTGCAAAAAAAATAAAAGTCTGTCAACTAACATACCGACATACAAATTGCCACAAAGGAGATTGCAAATGGATTCAAACCTGAACTGAAGTAAACACTTACCGAATTCACATAGGCATGGGCCCATAGTATTAATAATGAATGTAGATTCAAATGATGAAGTCTGCTGCTTCAGCTGGTTGGCCTTAAAAGATGCATGCCTCACCCAAGACGACCTCACCAGAAGAAATTTTCAACTGGCCAACAGGTGTTATATGTGTCAAGTGAACTCAGAATCTGTTAACCATCGTTTCCTCCATTGTTCAGTAGCCACAGACATATGAACATGTTTCTCAGCATTTTTGGTCTACACTGGACTATGTCATTCAATGCCAGAGAGGAATATGTGAGCTGGAGCTTAAGGGAAGCTGACAAAACCATCAAGAAAGTCTGGAATATGGTACCTGCAAGCATTTTTTGGTGTATCTGGGTCGAAAGGAATAGTAGATATTTTGATGGATTATCAACTTCAATAGGTTGCTTAAAGGCTAGATGTTTGATTAATTTGTTTCACTGGGCTAACCTTACTACTGTAAATAACTCTGATGTTTTTTTGGACTTTGTCAGCTCTCTAGTTTTGTAGCCTTAATTGTAAACGAGCTGTCAAACTCACTTCTTTTGTAACTTTTGCATCTTCCTGATGCCTTTTATGGTATATTCTACTTACTTCATCAAAAAAAAAAAAATAATGAATGCAGATGGCCCATAGTATTAATAATGAATTCACATAGGTACGGGCCCATAGTATTAATAATGAATGCAGATGGCTGCAATGTTACTATTAATGTCATTTCCCGTTGCAATTTTCTCTCTTCTTTCAACAACCTCTCATCTTTCGACATTGTGAAATTTTTACTTCATTTAAATTTCATATTATAATGTTTCAATTGCCCCCACTTGTCCAAGGACAACTTCCCTGTAAGTTTCTATTTTGCAACATCAAGTTTAGAGATCAATCTTTGTAAGGCAAGTTTGACTTAAATTTTATGCTTGAGCCATCCATTTGTTGACTCGAGATGGAATTTACTCCCTTTCTTAATAAGTTTTCCGGATATTTATCATCCAACTTTAGAAGAAGACAACTATTTTCGCTTTTTAGATTCACATTTCATGAACATAGAAGCCGAGTTAAGTTCACATAATTGTATTATGCAAGTTACACTTTTCAATGGCTTCTATTTACTTGCAAACAAGGTCAAAGAATTTGAAAAGTGATCTAAAAGCTACCACAGCTTAAAAAAAAAGAGGAGTACGTGCTTAAATCGTGAAATTGTCTGTCCGCACGTCCTTGCCGTTTCCATTATCTCTAACCTATAGCAATATTTTTCTGTGATAACTAACTTAGTATTTAAGAAAAAACATATGTCAGTCAAATTTCCAACTAATTCACCTGTAGATGCCTCACAAGGAAAATCCTTTTCTATCCCAAAAAAAAGATTCTCAATTCTTACTGAAATACATAACCATTAACATTGGGGGTATGAGGGTATCAACTTGGCTTGTGCGGCGCTTGGAACCTAATTATTAAACGGAACTTTCTCAAAAGAAAAAAAGAGACACACGGAGGTATTATTAGAAGCACAACCCAGTCAAATTAACAAGAACTAAGATGGTGGCTATTACATAGACAAAATAGAAGTAGACAAAGAGAAAGCGAAAGTTGAAAGGAAAACCAAAAGGACTCACAGTCGATTTGCAGGAAGGGTCGCAGAGCCAGCTGGGTTCTCAGCAGAACCTGCACTTTTCAGACTCTGGGAAAACTTGCGTTCTTCACTTCTTCGTCAGATATGGCGAGAGACAATCGTGAGAAAAAAGAGAGTTGGGAACGAACAAAGCTGAAATGATCAACCCAATATACACAGCTTTAAATCCAAAACTCCAACACCAAAGGAAGAAAATGAAGAGGGAATAAAAAGAGATCTGTAGTCTAGCAAGAGGAGTCTTCAACATAGAGCAGGGAGAGATGAGAAATTGAAAAATTGCCTGACGCTTACAATACGTGTTTGACAAAGAAAAGCGCACCGCAACAAGCTTAAAGCACAGGTCAGATAGAATTCCTCAAATAACCCTAGCAAGACCGCGAAGTAGGAATATTTCCAAAAATACCCCTAAAAGCTGGACGACGAAGAGCTGCTAAACTCCCGCTTCTAAAAAAGTAGAAATATAGTAAGGAATATGTTCAAATCTGTTATAAATATATATTATATTATAGATGTTCATTTAGTTCTCCGTCATAAATAAGCTTCCTGAAGAAGCTTATCATTTCGGTACTCCGTTATGGATAAAGATTACCCCGGCAGAAGATTATCTATATCTGGTACAGAAGCAGCATACAAGCAACTTACAAGTAGCTTACACAACAGCTTGTAGTAGCTTACACATCAGCTTGTAGTAGCAGCTTACACAGCAGCTTGTAGTAGCTTACACAACAGCTTGTAGTAGCAGCTTACACAGCAGCTTGTAGTAGCAGCTTACACAGCAGCTTGTAGCAGCAGCTTACACAGCAGCTTGCAGTAGCAGCTTACACAGCAGCTTCCTTTCTTCTATAAATAGAAGAGATACATCAGTTTGGAATTCGAATAATATATCAGTTTCTCTCTATACTTGTCTTTATTTTATAACACGTTATCAGCACGAGACTCTGCCATCTCGAGCAAATACTTTGAAAGTATCTGAGTGTTTATCTCCGATGTAAGGCGACGCTCTTACGTCCGTGGTTAGATCTTGTTCATTCCGAGCATCACAAGACAGATTATATCTTGAGGTGGTGAGTTTTTCTTCTTGGCAATAGTGATGTAGATATCACTTGCATCTGGAGTGGCAAAATTTTCGTAATTTAATTTGAGCCTTTTGCTTATATTTTAATATCTTTATATCGCCTGTTTGGCTATGTGTTACGTACACAATACCTATTTTGGTATTTATTTTCATCCTTATTATCTTAATAAAGGATTACAAAGTGGATACATTATAAGATCCACTTAAACTCCAGCAGAGTTTTCAAGAAATATACAACCACCAGAAGTGGTATGTTTCATATATCTCATTGTAACTAAAGTTTGGTAACCACCAGAAGTGCTATATGCCTATGACCACCAGAAGTAATAATTTAGGCTTTCTATAGTTACAATTGAAGATAAGCTAGAGAAAATTTCTCTATATTACTTACATGCCTCGATTTGCTCCTGAAGTAGCATTATCTTAAAAGAGGTTGAAGCATTACACGATTTGGTGTAATTCGTTCAAATAATTATGTTCCGTTCCCTGAAGAATGAGAACTTTTGATAAATATTAATCTATTCCCCGAAGTGAATGTGACAATATTAATAAAGCTCGTAAATATGAACGCGCTTTAGATGTAAAAATATACGATTCACCTCCAGAAGAGGTAATATGATTGAGAGAATATATACTCATTTTTTCGTATTTTAAATTTGCTCCTGAAGAAGTAATACAATTGAAATTTTCTCCTGAAGCAGGAAAATATTATGAAACTGTGTCTTCCTGTGCTTAAATAAAATAATAAGCTATTCAAAGTTATTTTTGAAGCACATTTTCATTCCCTGGATTGAATGAAGAAATACCACAACTCACCTCTTGAAGAGGTAGAATAACAAAGGATATAAATCTTATTTTTGTGGCATAAAAATCATTGTCGCACGTACCCGTTGGACGTAAAATATCTTGGAAATTTTTATTAAATATCATTCCAAGGCAAAAGTATTCTTGTAGAATGCTTTCTACTACAACCACATTAATATGTTATGGTTAGTTATCGAGTTCCCCGAAGGAAATAACAGCTCATGTATCTTTCCCTGAAGGATGTAATGACTATGTAGTTACCGCTTTGATATAAAATATTTAGATGTTAATTGCGTTTCTCCCTGAAGGCGATATTTGTCACGAAGTTGGTGGTAAGAATACTGAAATTCTTATTTATTACATTTATAAATTTATAATTGTCTTTATATTGTCAATGTGATCATGATTTTCTCTCGTGACACCAGAAGTGTCTGAGCACTATTTGGTAGTACAAAATTATCAAAAGCTCCTGAAGAGCTAACTGTTTGTCTAGAAGACACATGATACCAGTAGTGTCCGATAGATATAAGATTGTGGATAATAAATGAAGGCTTTCGAAGAGCTTATATACAAAAATGTCATTCATATTATATGATTGTGATCAAAACATATGTTGTAGTAAACCTGAAGTTTACTAATACAAATGACCATCATATTGAGACTACAAATGATTGAAAGATTAAAAATCTTAATGTTTCCACAATCATAGGGGGTAAATATGTATGTGAGAAGTAACCCGCCTGATTCTTCAATTTGTACTACATCACGTATCACAGTAAACCAGAAGTTTACTAATGCAAAAGCAGCTACAGTAAATCAGAAATTTACTTATACAAAAGTAGCCACAGTAAATTAGAAGTTTACTAATGCAAAAGTTTGTGCCACAGTAAACCAGAAGTTTATTAAGAGATAGCACATGCCATGATAAATTTGAAGTTTTCATTTGCCATTTTTAAATGAGCTATTTGAGAATTCAAATAAGCATATACTGAAGAACTAGAAGATTCTTCAAGAATTCTCATGTGTTGCTTGTTCTCATAATAAATTGATTATACCAGCTAAAGTTTGGACTAAGACTCCTGATTCTAAAATATATAAAAGGTGAATATGGGCCCATTCACCTATCATGTGAACCACTTATAGATGCATATATAAGATGGTTACATGTATGTTTATTGTCAACCTGTAGTTTGGCACTTGAGATTGTTTTTCTCAATTAAGAGCATAACTTTCAGATTATGAAATCAAGACAGTTCATCTTGATAATGCTGGTTTATATCCAAGCTGGTTTAGCAGTGAATACCTCCTATTAATAGCTAAACCATTGCTTATGAGAACAAAAATTCATATGTTGGTCTAAGATTTCCTAAAATTGCATATAGCAGCACTTGTATGCGTCAGACCAACAATATATGATATGTCCTCCCCTCACAATTGGTTTAGGATCAGAAACCAAATATTTTTACTATCTTTTGATGTGTGGTATATGATTAATTTCTCTACCACAATACACAAAGATATGTTTCCCAAAGAAGATTAGGGATATATGTTAGTTTTTCTAACATTTGGGGGATGGAATAAACAGCTGAAAAATATGTTATATGAATCGAATTATCATTAGTATGATCCTCACTCAGAAGATAATTCTAGTCAAATGCCAGAAGCATTTGCTGATCCAAAATTAAATATCATATTTCAGCTGCAAATGCTCCTATTAAAATTAAAGTCCCTGAAGGATAAAGTTTATTGTACGCATGAAGCGTGATAGGCCAATCGGTTCCAAAATAAGGAGCTAATGATCAAAATGATCATAATGAGGAGGAAATGAGCTCTAGAATAGCCCACGACATAACATTTCATGAAACTCCAGAAGAAGTTCAGGTACCTGAAAATAAAGAAAGTGATGAGATCTCAACAAGTTATGTCGCTTAGGAACCGATACAAAATGATCGTCGATGATATATTTGATACAATATAGCGCACAATATTGTAAAAGATTGTGAGGATCGGACCTGTAGTCCAGACACCTGAAGATGTCACGCCATTTAAATGTAAGTCATAACTTATATGACTCATTTGATTAATTCTATATGAAGATCCCTGAAGGATTTAAAATGCCTAAAGCATATAGTTCAAAGTCTCGAGAAATGTACTCGATCAGATTACAAAGGTCTTTGTACGGTTTAAAAGAATCTGGGCGTATGTGGTATAATCGCCTCAGTGAATATTTGCTGAAAGAAGGTTATGTAAGTGATGTTATTTGTCCATGTAGTTTTTATAATGAAAATGTCATCAAAATTTGTTATACTTGCTGTTTATGTTGATGACATAAATCTTGTTGGAACTCCAGAAGAGCTCCAAAAGGCAATTGAATATCTTAAGAAAGAATTTGAGATGAAAGATCTTGGAAAGACAAAACTTTGTCTTGGTCTACAAATTGAACATTTAGCAGAAAGGATCTTTATCTATCAATCTGCCTATACAGAAAGGGTCTTAAAATGCTTTTACATGGACAAAACGCACCCATTGAGTACACCAATGGTTGTCCGATCACTTGAAGTGGATAAGGATTTGTTCCGACCTCCAGAAGAGGATGAGGAACTCCTTGGTCTCGAAGTACCCTATCTTAGTGCAATTGGTGCACTAATGTATCTTGCTAATGCTACAAGGCCTGACATAGCATTTTCTGTTAATTTACTAGCAAGATACAGTTCTTCTCCTACATGGATTAAGGATCCATTCTTACCTCCAGAAGAGGATGATGAACTCCTTGATCCAGATATACCCAAGTCTCTGCACTGTACTCTTTTTCCCTTGCTCGGGTTTTTTCCCACTGAGTTTTTCCTGGTAAGGTTTTTAATGAGGCAGCTTGCAAATGTATATTATTAGTGTACTCCTTTTCCTTGACTAGGATTTTTCCCATGAGGTTTTTCCTAGTAAGGTTTTAACGAGGCACATAATAATGAACATCCAAAGAGGAATGCTTTGAAAATATTTTTGTGGATGTCCATTTATTACTCCGCTGTAGATAATCTTCCTGAAGAAGATTATCCATTTAGTACTCCATTGAAGTTTTCTACAAGCAACTGATGCAGGTAAGTTGCAAGGAACTCAATGAAATGACTTGTACCAGCTTCTTGGTTTGATGAGAATAAGAGGAATGCTTTGAAAATATTTTTGTGGATGTCCATTTATTACTCCGCTGTAGATAATCTTCCTGAAGAAGATTATCCATTTAGTACTCCATTGAAGTTTTTTACAAGCAGCTGATGCAGGTAAGTTACAAGGAACTCAATGAAATGACTTGTACCAGCTTCTTGGTTTGATGAGAATAATTTAAATCGATCTGAAATAGTGGTGGATAATATTCTCTACAAACTCAATTTTTTGAGAAGATGGTATACAAGATTGGAATGAGGAGATTCAAATATT